CTTACGTGGAATAAAATAGAGATATAATGTTCGTGTACCTTTATTGTTAACAACCTTAACTGATACGAGGGCCGTACAATTAAATGTATGACAATTGAAGCTGTGTTCAAAATATTAAACGTGATTTTCGGAATTTCTGAGTAGTTTTCTTAATTTTCTTAGCACTACTTTCAGTTGATCATTTCATTACAATTATACATCCCAACATGCAACGCTTATAAAATGAAAGCGTAAAAGTAATTGCTCTAATTGTACTTTAGCGATAAAAAAAAAGTTACTGCACTCCATGTAGCTTCGTTTCACTTCAAAGAAGGTAAATTAATTCCAGTACTTTTTGTTTTCTATAAATATTTAGTCATTTAACATGATTTTTGTATACATACGTGTAAAATCAATTCCACCTAAAACTCTTCATCTACACAAGTATGCAAAAATGGTTAATGAAAAAGTTTACCCAACGCTATGAATAACACTTTACAAAGGACGAAAGGGAGGTGTAAAACCTTGGCGTTTGGACGCATTAACGCACAGCAGTGCATCGCATCTCTTTATTGCACGCCGTGTTTTCATCATCACCTATAGAGCCCATTGAATTTTAAACAGGAAGTAACAGAGGAGCCCTTGGACACCTCTCCGAGGGGAAAAAAATAGACCGGGTCAATTGACCGGTCGCAACGCTCGAGGAACTACACGCGCGCTTTTATCACTTTCATCCAGCTCCGATCAAAAACTCACTCCGAAAGGCAACGCTCGTTCGTCAAATAATGATTCAATATAACTCGGATTCAGTGTACACACGTGCCTCCTCGGGTTGTACAACCTGTATATATACGCGAACACACGTGTATACGCCCATTGCGTGCGTGATGTTTTTTTCAAAGACACGTGACGATCGTCCCTACGGATCGGCACGTATTGGTATCTCGTACATTTAGTATCCATAAAAAGTATCGTAAGCGATCGTACAAATCAAAGAGCGACGCGTGTTTATGGTAATTTCTGATGTTTGACGGAACTACACGAGTTTGATGAACTTGGGCGCTGTTATTCGAATATGCTTTGGCTCTCGGGTGAGTTTTGCCACGTTTGCTTTGAATTTCCGCTCTCGTTCGCCAGCTCGTGAACCTAATTATATGGTATTTTCTTCAAACCCACACGAGGCTCGCTCAAGGAAGTTAATTAGGTATTTTTGTACGATTAATCCTGTATGCGATAACGTATTCATACGTACCGTGCAATTCACGTCACGTCACGAAGGTGCCGATAACATGTGTATTATTAACTTACCGAATGTTTTGATTTATTGCGCGAATCTCGGTATGTGGGGGTGACGCCACCCAAAGTGTGAATAAATAATTACACTCGATGATTAATGGCGTTCAATTACGGACACACCCTGTAAGCCGCGAAAAATCATTATGTTACAATATACGCACAGACAGTGGTACATCGTGGTTTCGTTTAATTAAATATAATATTCATGCTTGCACGTACAATAAACACTTGATTGATGCTGTACAGCAGCAACGATACACAATTTCTCGTACACCAATGAATGATGTTAAACCTTCGGTCTTTCCAATTAATTACCGATCTGAGTTGGACCAACAAAAATCTCGACGTTTGATCGGTGCAATGAATACACATACACCGAGCACGCATACGGCATCACCATTGTTCGACACCTAGGCGCTTGTAATCGAATCTCGGCGTCGTTCGGACCGATCGAAGTTCAATTAGTGCCGAGCAAGCACCGCGCCCCGTGACCGTACTCTCTTACGTAAAGTCCTTCTTGAGGTACTCGTACGTTTGCAAACGTATAGGGAATCTTTTGCGATTTGCGGTCCAAGAGAAGCCTTTTTGGCGTTGGATCTCAACTAAGCACAATTTATCCCAACCTGTTCCATTTGCATTTTACAATCGAGCTCCAAGTGTAGCCGAGTGATTATATCGACATGAAAAATCCACACGTAGGATTTTTCATCGCCTTAAGACCCGTGTTTGCTCAAGTAAATTGAATTCCACAGGTTATCAGTAGAACAACCCACGTTTGGTCAGACGCGCCCAATCTAAACACTTGACGAGCGCCCATAGAATCCAGCAAGCCACGCTACATGATTATTACGGATAAAAAAAAACTAAGATACATTCACAAGTGCCAACACTCTAGCCCCCTCCCTCCCCAACTCCCACGCTCCATAGGCTGCCCCGTGCGCGTCATCGATCGCTCCCGACAACGTTCTCCCTAAGGTCCATCCCTGCATTCGGAAGCGACGCGTCTATACGCAATTCCACAGCACGCCATTCGCGCGAGCTCTCCTTGGGTATACGTGTGTGCATCTGCACCATCCTTCGTGCACTTTTTTCCTCCTGAAACACACATCTCGCGCGATGGCATCGGAGCGCTGTACGTGATCCGCGAGCGAAACACCATCCCCGGGCTCTAACGATCGGCTGAAGCGGGCCTTGATGGCGTTTTGATTGTCGGCTTGGCTCATGTATTTTCCTCGATTACAGCTACTCATGTCTAACAAGCGCGCTTTTTACGGAGGATCGATTGATTGGTAATGATCGAGCTCTGGTCGGTTTGAAATATTCGTCGAGCCGTGTTTCCCCGTTGGAACGGGGATGACGGAGGCGTTTCACGCTTGTTTACGTGCTTTTCGTCATTGTTTTCTCGCGACGCTAATCAATAATGCAGGGAAGGGCTTTTAGCCTTTTTTTTTCCCTCGCTAACAATAGTGCTTTGCGCGGGGGAGTACGTGAATTATTTATGGCTGCATTTGGGGTTACTTTCATCAGATAGGCGGCATTCTCGTGGGATGGAATCCAATGGCCTTTTGTTTCTTCGCGTTTAAATTGTACTTGGCTCGTTTCGAATGGGAGTTCGCTGCCGTGTAATTTTATGAAAATATTTGGGAATATAACGACACACGCGTGGCGTGTAAAATATGTGTATAGCACCCACGTGCTCGGTAAATATACGCTGAGAACACCTGTTCTGTTTGCAATGCGTTACGCAGCAGTGAGTAGTCGAAATTGTCAATTACTGTTTTGTAAATACCAAAACAAAACTTTTCCCCACACGTATCGTTGTTACGATGCTTTGTTATTCTAGGGACGATGTTTCAGTTGCAAAAATAAGTTTCGTTCAAGTCAACAACGACAGTCGTCTTGAACAATGTTAAAATTAGTGTGTACACATGTGTGCCTGCCTACGAATTTTAACATTGTGTAAGATGACTGTCGTTGTTTGCTTGAACGGAACTTCCTTTTGGGTGGCCAAAACGTCGTCACCGGAATAACGAAGTGTTGCTCGTGGTTAATTTATCGATTTCCTATGCTGTTCTCCAAACAGCTTTTATTTGATATATTTGACACGTGTGCTTGATCTTTACTTGAAAATATTTTCTTTAAATCCATACGCTATCGTATTCGCTGAAAAGCTTGATGAATAGCTCCGAGATATTGTGTCGTACAATACATTCGATGATATTGCTACATAGGCCATTTAAATATACAATTAAAAAAAAGAGTTGTCACTTTGTCCAAAAGAGAATTATAAATTTACTTCTCATGTAATTTTGATTGTAACTAAACGCAGTGTCTGGATGTTCAAAATCACGTGATGATTGTTAGCGAATGAATTCTCCGTATATCTCGTTACGGTACGCACGCAGAGGGATTACACTGATTATTCAACGAATCATTGTTCGAAATCAGTCATTTGACGTTGTGATATTGATTTGCGTGATATCATGTAATTTTTCAATATAAATAATACGTAATCAATCGTTCACAAGGACGTTATTTATCTCCAGTTTGTATTTTTTTTTTTTTTTTTACTGTTTATTTCAAGCAAATGTTTTTGTGGTTCATAATAACAATAAACGATTAAATACAACTGATAAATAAAATTTTGTTTATGTTTGTTTACGATAAAAACAAATGGGGACTCATAAAATCAGTCACTTAACCATGGAAACGCGATAAAGAGGGAAAAAAAGGAGATGCAGGAAAATTAATCCACAGTTGAGATGGACGATCGATGAATTTGCTTCTTTATAATCAAATGAGCGTTCTGTGACGTGATTTCTGGACTAGCTTGATTTCCCAAGCCAGTGCTTAGTAGGGTTTTCTCTTTTAGTGAAGTCGTCAAAGAAAAAAAAAAAAATTGAATTAACTGGCAGCTTAGTTGTAAAACAGACAACTTTATTTTTTAATTTCCTTTTAAAACGAAAGTATTAAAAAACTCATCTTTAGCTCTCGATGGAAATGCGTTTTCATTTTATTTTTTTCTCGTCTTATTCATTTTTTTTTGTACCATTTGCGTCGTACAATGTACGTCAGATTCAGTAATGACTTAAATTTTAACTTACTTGAGTAAGTGACCAGCCGTAAAAAGCCTTAAGAATTTCAAACTTGCATTTTGCATGGAAAAATATATTTCATTCGCCAGATGGATTATTACAAAATATTGGATAAGTATTTTTTAGTTTTTTACATAAATAAAATAATAAAATTGACAAAAATAGAGCAGTTCAAGGTTTTTTAATGGAGGAGAAATACTTTCCGATCATAAATTCTTGATAATCGTGACGTACTTTACTCCTACTCTAAAACTTTGACGTACAGCATTTTTTGAAAATAATCCACCCGACGAACCAAATGGTATAACTTTTCAGAATCATCCATATTTTTGATCTATATTTCCATTCTGAATACTTACAGACTAAAGCTTATTGATTGCATTCAATTAAATTAACTAACTTGGATTCAAACTTAAAGTATGTTTCAATTTCGCGTAGCATTTTAATAACGATGGATTGGTTGAAGTCGTTACTTATTTTTAATAAAATAAATATTGCATGAAGCCATTGAGGAAATAGTTTTTGTTGGAGTCGAAGGAATACATATTGATTGTTCCAGCTTGAAAAAACTATTTCTTTCAAAAAGATGGTATAAAACTCCTTTTTTCTATTCTAAATTAAAATTTCTAGGAGGCTGCTCGGCGTTCGGTCACTCATGCTACGGGGGTCACGGAAAACGATCGGAGAGTGAAAATATGATGGACGCTGACCCAAAAATCAAGGAAGACGTGCAGCTAGACCAAAACGTAGCAATCCAGAACGGCGAAAGAGAGGCGCTTACCCAGATTCTGCAGTTGCTTAATCGTCAGGATGAGCGCTTTGTTAATTCGCTGCGTGAACGTTTGAGCCCGAATTCTTGGTCATTGATGGTTAGAAAATTGGTGAGTTGAATGAGAGCTTGGTATTTCACGATGTTAACACTCAAGTCCAACGTGTTAACTAACTTGAAATAATTACTGTTTTCAGGTGGCACTACCCCGTCATCAGTACCCAACTTATTCCGACATCCGAAACCCTTATTAATCATGTTTGAAAACTTTCGTCACTGGAGACACTGTACAATGACAAATCTCACGATAATCTCTCCTAACATACCTTGTTAATAAACATATATTTTGCTTTAAATCGTTTAATTTTATGGTTTAGTTCTGATAATAGTTTTTAACATCATTATATTTTGAATGATTTTTAAATTCATGTTCTACCTTACAATTTTCGTGTTAAAGTTAAAATTGAAATACATTATATTTACTATAAAATTGTTTTTCATTATTTTTATTCAGATAATCGTGTTAGTAATTTATACGTATGTTACGAACGTTTAGAGTCAATTCAAGGCTGAAAATTGTAAAAAGACATTGGTTTTCACAAACTAATAATGGAAGATGACAAATTTTTTGAATAATTAGAGTATACATAATATTTTTGTCAGTAAGATTTGTTAAATTAATTTTACTTTGAATTTGTGTTCCTCTTTTTCACTGGATGGTGAATATCGAAAAATTATAAATACATGACTGATACTTGAATGAGAGAATAACATGTTACAAATAAAACCTCATTTAATTTATTCATTAAAAAATTTCATTTGTGATATATAATACAAAACAAAAGTTGTCATCTACAGTTGTATTGTAAAGAGAATATACTATTAATAATGAACCCATAATGACATATTAAAAATGACACATATATGTACTTGTTGAAATCAGTGTGGATGGAAGAATTATTTTCATTGATTGAAAATAACTTATGTATTTCAAACTATTATTAAACACTATGCATGGATATGCTGTTTATATTTTTTTTTAGAAAATTAATATTTTTTTATGAACCCATACTCTCAAAACTAAAATAAATTCATGAGTAATTACACGAAGTTTGTTGTCTTCATTAATTGTACAGAAATGTATATAAATTTAACAATAAAATAGTATGAAAATTGTATTTTTTTTGCATTCAATAATTAAGCCATTTTTAGTTGAAACTATGTTATCGGTAAAAAAATTGATCTTGAATGATTGTGAATGTATACGCACAACTTTTATGGCTGGTAACGGTAAGCTAGGATCCTTTAGTAATAAAGTATACTTACCAATTTGTGGTAAGGAGCAAAAATGTGTATTCTATAATAACATTATAACTGATGTTATGTATCTACATAGATATGCGATTCTGTGAAAATTATTTATAGGGCCTTAATTGATTATTTGTAATAAAATTATTTTATGTATGATTATACAGGATGTTAAAATAAAGGTACGACTGTGTAACAAGTATTTCTTTTTAATACGCCAAAGAGAAAAGGTACAAGAAATTTTAATTATTATTCACATATTCAACAGTCTACTGAGAGAAAACAAGATCACCAACAAATTTTTTGACATAATTTTTACAATTAAATTAATAATTTTTCTGCTACATACTAACGTCAAATTAAATCTAAATTTCATGATTGCCATAATGACGTATGCGAAAATAACACTGACACACTAAGTTTTTTTTTTTATCATGTGAAATAAACTTTCCTGTACAAAATGTATTCCTCAAATAAATTAACATGATTGATTGTGCATTATTCTTATTGAGACCATAATATATACAACTGAAGTAAAAGTTATTTTTGTCACGTAAACAGTGTACTAATTAAAAAAAGCGAAAATCAACTGCACATTAATTTTTTTTATTTTACTTAATTAACAGTGCAGAAAAAGTAAAGTTATAAACTAACCCATTTTCTTACAATTTTACTCGATTGTGATTTTTTAGAGTACTAGTAGAGCGTAAAATATTAAATGATCGTTTCGTATATTTTTATTTCACAAGTTTCTCGTTCAACTGATTATAATAATACTTTCATTTGAATTTTACCATTTGTAGCATAGAGATCAGTCTGTAGAACTTGAACAAGTATACCATTCGCTCAACAATTTAAATTTAATTTTACAACTAATTACACTTTAAAGTCTTAACAATTTTTAACCAAGTCTTATAATGTTTTTTTAAATTTTATTTTCACCCTATGTTAAAATTTTTAAATTCAACATTCATATGCATACGTTCTGTTTTTGATTTTTGATACATGATTGGCCAGTCTTGAGTGACAAATGTACTGTTGGTGTAGTTTGAGATACAAGTTGAATCTTCATAGTCCATAGATTTTGCTTACGTATTTAGAAGATTTTTATGAATTTCTAAATTATGTTTAGCTTTAAATAATTTGACTTGAAATACTTCAGACTTCAATAGGCTTTTAATTAATTAATTAGCAATACTATAGTTTATAGTTTTTATCAATTAAATAAAAAGGGTAATAAAAACACGCATATGCTCTATCGTACCAGTGAATAGTTACTACATGTTTTAATTTTACACAGCATTATTAAATAGATATGGATTTTTCTTCGAGATTTCGCTTTATTTATTAAAACTAAATAGTGGAAAAGTCTGACATCCATGAAATTTCTAAAATAGGTGATTTGAGAGTTTTGTGGCTGTTTGAATGATACCGAGAAGAGATAAAATCGACATGGATTTATTTTCGTTGCTTGAACCAAAAATTTTCAAAGTCAGTTGGTACGATGAAGCACATACGAGTACATGCGTGCACCAAAGTTATCTTTTAATTGTTTACAGACTATCACGATTGTCAACTTTTTTAGTCTCAACACATAATATTAAAATGTAAAAATACTACAGCATATAGAATGAATTTTTCGTAAGAAATAATTCACAGCATGAATAATAGTAATAGGATTGACTGCTGTGTATCTATTCTTTGAAGAAAAGTGTTGAAATATTCGCAGGTAAATTTACTTCGATTTGTCATCAATGTTGTTCTGAAAGAAAAATTATATTCATGATTAATAAGAAAACTAGATGATTTTAATATACGTGCGTGAAAAAAATGTCTTACTAATATTTTGTAGAGTCTCATCTTTATTGCCTGACCACCGCTATCTTTGCTTTGAGAATTAAACAGAGGATCAGATGATTCACCTCCTGTTGCTCTTTTATCGTTTTTTGGTATGCCTCTTCCTTCGAAATCTCTTGAAAGCGTCTCTATCGCTACACTGCATCAAAGTTAAATATTTTTTATATTTTTATTTCATTTTTTTAGTTGTTAGTTTTTTTAGAGGTATTAGGGTACAGATACTTTATATTTTGACCTAAAAACAAAAATGTGTTTTTACTGGGATGAAATATGTCGAGACACTAAGTACAAGATATACATCGTAAAGTCACAGCGTTTTTCTCTGTTGCTCCCGGATAAATTTTCTTACGCTTTCAAAGTATATTTTATGTAGAATACTATATAATTGCCTAGAATAATAATTTTAGAAAAATTTTCAATAATTTGTATGTAATATCATTGCATTTTATGGCTTATAAGGTTATTTTTCAACAAATTAATATATTCTTTTTAGCTATTTCACCGGTAAACGTTTACAACTAAGGAAATCGTCAAAATATGTTAATGTGAAAATAGTTAACACATCATTATACAAAAAAATGTAATGATTTCTGTCTAGTAAAAAAATTATGTTTCATGAATGTAAACGATTATTTCGAGATTTCAATGTGATCTTAGCTTGTTTAAAACAGTATTATTAAAATACACAAATAATTTTCCATTCCAATATCTTATCGTGGTATCAGAATTACTTATTTGATTATAAATTTGTTGGATACCATTAAATCACATGAGAAGATTAGCTACTAATTACTACATTATGCAGTATGAAATATAAAATTTTTGTTTAACAAACTTTGAATGTTTTGTACAGATAAACTAAAAAATGAAACATTTTCACTATTCACTCAATCGTAAACTTACTGCTTTAAATTCAGGGAGTAAGCATTATTCCGCCCAAGTACGCACACGAACGTCAGAACATTGATCGATAAAGATCCTCATAATGGATATAAGCTCTTAAAAATATACCTCTGCGTTTATTCTCATCGCCATAGTAATTTCCATCGAGAGATTACAAATACCTATCGTGCATCCAAAGCCATTACAATTTTCTTTAACTGCGCGTAAAACGTAATCTCTTTTTATCCCGGGAAACAACAGCAACGCGTAACTTCCAAAGCTTGTAAGTAGCCAAAGTAATCCACGCTAAAAGGCCTGAACTATAAAAAAAGTCAGGTAAAACAGAAAAAAGAAAGGATGGCACATACCTGCGTTTGAGTGGCAGCACCAGGTCGTTCTCGTCGAGCACCTGGGGCAGGAAAAACTGCGGTTCTTCCTCGGCCAGCCATTTCGCGCGCATCCTTACGGCCAAGGGTGACTGCATGAGCTGCCGGCTGACCAAACGTGCCCATCGATCGTCGTGGATAGACGGTGCAGCGACGACTACTGGCCTGTCCGGGTTCAGCAGTGCACGAGCAAAACCATTGCGCTTGCCATGGGCTATGTAGGTTGTTTTTTAATTACTTTCTCAGAAGACTATGATAAAATTGTTTATGTGCGATGATAGTTTTATTTTATTTAAAATGAAAGAAAAGTTTTGCGCATGATTATTACTGGGGCAAGTGCGGAATGTTGAAGCTCATTTTCAAAGTTCGAATCAATAAAATTTAATGATATTAATTTAACAATTATTATCCGACAATAAAATCATTCTTTGATTCACTAAAAATTCAATGAAAAATTATACGTGATCGTGTAAATTTGTTGATATTTCAATTAACAAGCAAACTTTTTGATAGTTGAAGCAGCTTCTCATTCATTGATAATTAACACTAATTCTTCACAAACAATCAGATTTAATTACTATTATGTTAAAATCGTCTATATTAAATTTAATTTTTGAATGTTTTGTATTCTATTTATTAAAATATGTAACTAAGACTCACCACCCCAACACGAGTGTCCATAGCTCAAACAGGAACCTGAAACTCCAATCAAACCACATCATTGATAAGGTTTCAAAGTTAAAAGGCCAGAAAGATATTTAGTTTTCATTATGCGACCACCAACCTAACAAAAAACTCATTCTCCAGCTCTCCTATTTTTTCATGGGCTAGAAGTTTTTGTCGTTTTCATTAAAAAAGTTTCATGAGGCTTTTGTCGAGAAAACAACCGAAGGGAGTTTATCACGGGTGTTATTTTATTAGCGTCGTATTAAAATTTTATTTACAAACTTGA